CGAAGGCAGGAGCACTGGCCAGACTGCAGGGGCTCCGAGCGGGCCGCCTTTGTAGGAAGGCACCAACTACACACCAACACCAATCCTTGCCAGGATCACCCTGGGCCCAGGATCTATGTATACGCCCTCCTGCCTTGGGCAGAGTGCATATACACCGATCCTGGGCCTAGGATCGGCCTGGCCAGGATCGGTGTAGGTGTATAGTTGGTGCCCTCCGACTTTGAACAGTCCCTGTGCCGAGGAGTGCCAAACCCAGGCCCCCTCGAGCAATGAAAAAATCATTATCCCGGCAAAGCAACCTAACAGCGATGTGTAGAAGCATATCTGAAAGCATTCCCCTTAAGATTCAGATGAAAATCCAGTTGTAGAATTCTGCTGTTCTCGCAGTCGTAGTCGCATTCGCGATGACAGTCGCAGCGGCAACGGCAGTCGCAGTCACAGCCTCAGCCTCAGCCTGCCTCAGCCTCAGCCTCAGCCTGCCTCAGCCTCATCCTGCCTCAGCCTCAGCCTCAGACTGCTTCAGCCTCAGCCTCAGTCTGCCTTCAGCCTCGGCCTCAGCCTCAGCCTGCCTCAGCCTCAGCCTGCATCAGCCTCAGCCTCAGCCTCAGCCTGCCTCAGCATCAGCCTGCCTCAGCCTCAGCCTCAGCCTGCCTCAGCCTCAGCCTCAGCCTGCTTCAGCCTCAGCATCTGTCTGCCTTCAGCCTCGGCAGCCTCAGCTGCCTCAGGCCTCAGCATGCCTCGGCCGCAGCATCAAGCGTCGCTCAGCATTCAAAATGTGCCAGGGAATGGAATTCTGGGAACTCGAAGAACACGAAGTGGCCTACAGTTTGCTCCGGGCATTCAAAATCATACCCAGGAATGGAGTTCTGGGAAGTCCAAGAGCACGAAGTGGCCTACAGTTGGCTCCGGGCATCCAAAATGTGGCCCGGGAATGGAGTTCTGGGAACTCGAAGACCACGAAGTGGCCTACAGTTGGCTCCGGGCATCCAAAATGTGGGCCGGGGGGAATAGGAGTTCTGAGAAACTCGAGAGCACGAGAGTGGCCTACAGTTGGCTCCTACGGGCATTCAAAATGTGGCCCGGGAATGGAGTTCTGGGAAGTCGAAGAGCACGAAGTGGCCTACAGTTGGCTCCGGGCATTCAGAATGTGGCCCGGGAATGGAGTTCTGGGAGGTCGAAGAGCACGAAGTGTGTGACTGTTTGCAAAAAACGAGTGCGGCGGCAGCCGCGCCGGCAGCCTCCCCGGGTCCCGCCCCGACCCCCCTGAGGAGTCATGATGCTCTCTTTTGAGACCACTAGAAACCTATCAGCAAGAGCTGTTAGGTAATGACGGAAGGTTTTTCATTATTTTCGGCCTCTGGGAGCCCTCGCCGGGCCTCGGGACGGTCAAATTATCCCGGCAAAGCAACCTGACAGCGATGTGTAGAAGCATATATGGAAACATTCCCCTTAAGATCCAGATGAGAATCCAGGTGTAGAATTCTCCTGTTCTCGCAGTCGCAGTCGCATTCGCGATGACAGTCGCAGTGGCAACGGCAGTCACAGTCACAGCCTCAGCCTCAGCCTGCCTCAGTATCAGCCTGCCTCAGCCTCAGCCTCAGCCTGCCTCAGCCTCAGCCTCAGCCTGCTTCAGCCTCCGCCTCAGCCACAGCCTGCCTTCAGCCTCGGCCTCAGCCTCAGCCTGCCTCAGCCTCAGCCTGCATCAGCCTCAGCCTCAGCCTCAGCCTCAGCCTGCCTCCGCATCAGCCTGCCTCAGCCTCAGCCAGCCTGCCTCAGCCTCAGCCTCAGCCTGCCTCAGCCTCAGCCTCAACCTTTTCCTCAGCATCAGCCTGCCTCAGCCTCAGCATCAGCCTGCCTCGGCCTCAGCCTCAGCCTGCTTCAGCCTCAGCCTCATTCTGCCTTCAGCCTCGGCCTCAGCCTCAGCCAGCCTCAGCCTCAGCCTGCATCAGCCTCAGCCTCAGCCTCAGCCTGCCTCAGCCTCAGCCTGCCTCAGCGTCTGCCTCAGCCTCAGCCTCAGCCTCAGTCACAGCCACAGCCTCAGCCTCAGCCTCAGCCTCAGCCTGCCTCAGCCTCAGCCTGCATCAGCCTCAGCCTCAGCCTGCCTCAGCTTCAGCCTCAGCCACAGCCTGCCTCAGCCTCAGCCTCACCCTGCCTCAGCGTCTGCCTCAGCCTGCCTCATCCTCAGCCTCAGCCTCAGCCTCAGCCTCAGCCTCAGCCTGCCTCAGCCTGCCTCAGCCTCAGCCTGCCTCAGCCTCAGCCTGCCTTAGCCTCAGCCTCAGTCTGCCTCAGTATCAGCTTGCCTAAGCCTCAGCCTCAGCCTGCCTCAGCCTCAGCCTCAGCCTGCTTCAGCCTCAGCCTCAGTCTGCCTTCAGCCTCGGCCTCAGCCTCAGCCTGCCTCAGCCTCCGCCTGCATCAGCCTCAGCCTCAGCCTCAGCCTGCCTCAGCATCAGCCTGCCTCAGCCTCAGCCTCAGCCTGCCTCAGCCTCAGCCTCAGCCTGCTTCAGCCTCAGCCTCAGTCTGCCTTCAGCCTCGGCCTCAGCCTCAGCCTGCCTCAGCCTCAGCCTGCCTCAGCCTCAGCATCAGCCTGCCTCAGCATTCAAAATGTGGCCGGGGAATGGAGTTCTGGGAACTCGAAGAACACGAAGTGGCCTACAGTTGGCTCCGGGCATTCAAAATCATGCCCAGGAATGGAGTTCTGGGAACTCGAAGACCACGAAGTGGCCTACAGTTGGCTCCGGGCATCCAAAATGTGGCCCGGGAATGGAGTTCTGGGAAGTCGAAGAGCACGAAGTGGCCTACAGTTGGCTCCGGGCATTCAAAATGTGGCCAGGGAATGGAGTTCTGGGAAGTCGAAGAGCACGAAGTGGCCTACAGTTGGCTCCGGGCATTCAGAATGTGGCCCGGGAATGGAGTTCTGGGAGGTCGAAGAGCACGAAGTGTGTGACTGTTGGCTTAAAACGACTTCTGCGGCACCCTGTCCGGCACCCGCCCAGACCCCCCTGTGGAGTCATCTGCTGCTCTCTTTTTAGCCCATTAGAAACCTATCAGTCTTCGCTGTTAGGTAAAATCCAGTTGTAGAATTCTGCTGTTCTCGCAGTCGTAGTCGCATTCGCGATGACAGTCGCAGCGGCAACGGCAGTCGCAGTCACAGCCTCAACCTCAGCTTGCCTCAGCCTCAGCCTCAGCCTGCCTCAGCCTCAGCCTGCCTCAGCCTCAGCCTCAGCCTGCTTCAGCCTCAGCCTCAGTCTGCCTTCAGCATCGGCCTCAGCCTCAGCCTGCCTCAGCCTCAGCCTGCATCAGCCTCAGCCTCAGCCTCAGCCTGCCTCAGCATCAGCCTGCTTCAGCCTCAGCCTCAGCCTGCCTCAGCCTCGGCCTCAGTCTGCTTCAGCCTCAGCCTCAGTCTGCCTTCAGCCTCGGCCTCAGCCTCAGCCTGCCTCAGCCCCAGCCTGCCTCGACCGCAGCATCAGCCTGCCTCAGCATTCAAAATGTGGCCCAGGAAAGGGAGTTCTGGGAAGTCGAAGAGCACGAAGTTGCCTACAGTTGGCTCCGGGCATTCAAATTCATGCCCAGGAATGAGTTCTGGGAACTCGAAGACCACGAAGTGGCCTACAGTTGGCTCCGGGCATCCAAAATCTGGCCCGGGAATGGAGTTCTGGGAACTCGAAGACCACGAAGTGGCCTACAGTTGGCTCCGGGCATCCAAAATGTGGCCCGGGAATGGAGTTCTGGGAAGTCGAAGAGCACGAAGTGCCTACAGTTGGCTCCGCCCCCCCCCTCCCCCCCCAGGCAATTCAAAAATGTGGTCGGCCCGGGCGAATGGAGTTCTGGGAAGTCGAAGAGCACGAAGGGCCTACATTTGGATGCGGGCATTTCAGAATGGGCCCGGGAATGGAGTTCTGGGAGGTCGAAGAGCACGAAGTGTGTGACTGTTGGCTTCAAACGACATCTGCGGCACCCTGTCCGGCACCCGCCCAGACCCCCCTGTGGAGTCATCTGCTGCTCTCTTTTTAGCCCATTAGAAACCTATCAGTCTTCGCTGTTAGGTAAAAACGACTCGGGATGACAAACTGGTCCTGGGGAAAGGGCCCAGACTTCTGGGGGTCCGCTTCACGAAGAAATCATGACGCCAGGGGCCTGGGAAGGGGGACACCCGCCGCCTGGGGAAGCCACCACTCGCGGCCTGCTGGTGCTGGTTGCCAGCGACGGCGCACCCTGGTTAGCAACCCGCGCTGGGACGGTGCAAGCCAAAGAGTGGCGCCCTGCACCAAGCAGAGGACCGCAGGCTAGCCCCAGGAGCCGATGAGGGCGACCGAGGAGGCCCCGGGGCGATCGGCCCCGAGGGTTCGCCCCCCCCCACCCCCCGAGCACTGTCCAGGACGGGGAGCCGAGAGCTCAGGGCGGCGCGATGGGCAGGAGCCCCGCCGGCCTCTCCAACGGCTGGCCGGAGCCCCGAGATCCGAGGCTCTGGACAACGAGTGGAGCGTGAGCCTGTTTTTCTTTAGATCCAGGCAAGCTTACTTGCATGGCGTTCGCCCCCCCCCCTCTCCCCTCGCCCCTCTGCAATCGAACACGAGCGTGCAGGTGCCTTTCGACTTGCGTGATTTCCGCACGTCGAATTGTTTTCGGCCTGCTTCAGACTCAGCCCCCCCCCGTCCATGCAAGTAAACTTGCCCGAATCCAAAGAAAAACAAGCACCGGTCGGATTCGGACTACTTCCGGCGGCCCGCAACGGGCCCCGGGGCCGTCGAGCAAGAAGCGACTCGGGACGAGAAGTCGGCCCCGGGGAAGTGGCCCAGACCTCCGGGGGCTGGAGGCCTGGAAATTGGCACCAACACCAACACAGGGGGTTGCTTCCGCAGGGGGAAGATGATCCTAGATTTCGGTGTTGGTGGTAACATTTCGGCCACCCTGGAAGCCAGAATATTACCACCATCACCGAGGTCGGGATCTTCTTCTCCCGGTGGAGCGGTGGAGGCACACCGCCGATATTGGTGTTGGTGTCAACCTCTAGGCCTGCGAGGGGGGTCCACGCATCGAAAACATGGGAGCGCTGGATGTCTGGGGGGGCGGCCCGATGGGCCGATGGGCAGGAGCCGCGCTGGCCTCTCAAACGGCTGGCATGAGGCGGCGCTCTTGTCAGAGGCCGACGTCCCGCAGCGGGCTTTACAGGGCGCCTCGGGCTGCCCGGGCGAGCTGCTGCGGCATGTCGGAGGATGAAAAATCACCAGATCGGTTGGCTCCCAGACATCCTCGCATCGCGAAACAATGATGGCGTTCCACCAGGCTAGATTCAGGCCGGATTAAGTCCAGGATGAAGCCGAACGAAGCGGGATGACGCCGGATTCAGCGGGGTGAAGCTGGATGAAGCGGGATGAAGCGGGATGAAACCATAGTGGGACAGCTTCGACCAGGCTTATGCCAGCGCCGATTCTGAGTTTAAACTCACTTGAGCTGCATCCTCCTAGAAGGAAGTTTGCCCACTTTTGGCCTCGAGGGGAGGGGGGCCCTCGCCAAACCCCCGGGGCCGAGAAACTCCGGCTCGGGATGAAAGCCAGTCCCTAGTAACTGCGGGGTTCAGACCTAGGCACTGCGCAAAATCACGACGCTGGATGTCTGGGAGCTCTGTGCAGCCGGACCTAGGCCAGAGAAACACCCTTCAAGAACATGAGACCCTCCGCCCTCCAAAACACACAGAGCATCCAAGGGTACCCTCCCCAGGATGCACAAGAACGTCCAACAAGCACGAAGGACATTACGGCACCCTTCCCGAACCGACCTCGATCTTATACCTCGGTCCGCCGCCGAATTTGACTGGGGGGTCAAGACTCGGGTCTCTGGCGGCCGTTCGGGACGATCCCGGCACCCAGAGAAAGCTCGCGGCGAGGCGCAGCCGCTGGAACGCATCCCGAGGCTAGAAAACCGGCGAGAAGCGACTAAAACGTCCGAAAACCTCGAACCTCGAAAAACACGAAAAACATTAAGGTACCCTCCCCGAACCTGGGGAGACCAAGATGTACCCATTCCGCTACTCCCCGGACCTCTCCCGGGGTGCGTTCTGACCAGGACTTCGAGGCGAATCCAGCGGTGGCGACGAGGGCCTCCCAGGAGGCCCAAAAGGGGAAAACGAAGGAAAGGTAGAGTATGAGTACCTTTTCCTCCTCCCCAAACCGACCATAGATCTCTTTCTACCTCGGTCCGACTGCATAGCAGGGAGCTCGGCCAACCCGCGTGGCTGGCGGGCCGCGCGCGTGCCCCACGCGCGGCAGGGCCGGCTGGCCGAGGCTCGGGCTGCCGAGGAGGCGGGGCATCTGCTGGTGGAGGGAGCGGAAGCGGTGGCCAACGGTCGGGGGCGCGCAAGCATGGATCAGCGATCCGTGGATTTGGCGCGCGGTCGCCAAATCCATGGATCGGGGGAGGTGCCCTCCCCAAAACGCGGCCGGTGCCGCCTCGCTCGGCGGCGGAAATCCGCGACTTCCCATGGAAACGGGACCCGTCGCTAATCCACGCCCCCTTAATCCATGTTTGCGATCGCCTGAATCTAGGCCTCCTGGATGGGGTCGGAGTGGACGGGGTCGGTGGATCGCGCCGCATCGGCGACGCATCGGCAATGCATCAACGATACGCCTCGATGCGGAGCCGATTTCCTACACGCCGACGTCGCCGATGCGGCGCGATCCTCCGACCCCATCTACTTGGACCCCATCTAGAAGGCACCAAAACTGAACGCGGAAACGTCGGTGTCGACCCAGACATGACCGCGTGGGTTAAGAAAAAAAAAAAAACTCGACGGGAGGTGTTTGGCCATCTTCGGCCTCTGGGGACCCTCGACGGGCCTCAGGACCTTGAAACAACGACTCAGGATGGGAAACCGGCCCCAAGGAACGGGTCGGGACTTCCGGGGTCCGCGTAGTGAACAAATCAGGACGTCGCGTGTCTGGGGATCTTGGTCATCGTCCGTCCTGGTCAGTGTCAGTTCGTGCATCATCCTCGCGAACCAGCGAGGGCTGGCAGGGATCACTGATGGGCCGATCACCCACCACCACTACTATGGGTAGGAGGAGGGGGAGGAGGAGGAGGAGAAGAAGAAGGATAATGAGGAGGAGAAGGAGGATCTCCCCATCCTCCCCTCTCTCCCGTGCTACCTATGGTAGTGGTGGTGGGAAAAAAGCCCATCAAATTCGTGCATCATCCCCGCGAACTGGCGACGGCCCGCAGGGATCATGACCACGCTTGGCGTCGACAAGATCATGTGGAGGAGGAGGAGGAGGAGGCGGAGGAGGAGGAGGCGGAGGAGGAGGAGAAAGAGGAGGAGGAGGAGGAGGAGGAGGAGGAGGAGGAGGAGGAGGAGGAGGGATCATGGCCACGCTTGGCGTCGACAGGATCCCGAGACACATCGTGGTCATGGTCGGCGCGCTTCTTCCCTCGAGCTGAGAGCCTACTGCCAGCCCCACACCTTCCGGAACGGGGCGCCCAGGGCGTCCTCGGAGGAGCCAAAAAAACATACACATGAATTGCTGGAGGCAACGCTGTTTTTCGTTTTGCTCTGCCTGTTCCCCTGCACCTCCCTCCCAAAACGAAAAACACAACACAGCCGAAGTCCAGCAAAGCAGCGTTTAGGTCCAGCGCTGGTTGGAGGTCCGCGAGGCGTTCTTGGATCTGCGCTGGATCCCCCTCCTCGGCGCGCGGAGCGCGCCAGGGGCGGCGCCGGAGGCGCCGCCAGGGGAGGGGCGGGCCTGCGACAGACCAAGAAATCCGCGCGTACCGTCGAAAGTTTCTGTTTATGCTGTGCTTTCCTCCTGAAAGGTGTCCAGCTGTCCAGGAGGCCGACGAGGCCGACGCCGACGAGGCCGACGACGGTGACGACGACGACGACGAAGCCGACGACGACGACGACGACGACGACGACGACGACGACGACGACGACGACGACGACCACGACGTCGACGTCGTCATCGTCGTCGAGCTGTTGAGCTGTCCGTCCTCTGTGGCCAGCTCGAGTGCCTGCTTCGCCCGCCTCTTGGACACCTCCGGCCTGACGGCCCGCTCCGCGGCCTCCCACAGCAGCGCGCTCCACGTGAGCCGCGTCCTCTGGGGCTTCTTCGCCTGCAAGCAGGGCTGAACCTAAACGGTGTTTTTAGTTTTCGTGTTGGTCTTCGTTCTTCCTCGTTTTGCCATCGCTTCGCCTTGAATGCAAAATTAGCCTGACGAAAGACCCAACCATATGCAGCTGCGAGTGCCGCGAGGGAGATGAACGAAGGAGGGGGCGCGCAAACTCCGAGTAACGCACGCGGTCTAGCCTTCTGCCAGGAAGCGTATGAAGGCTGCGCCGACATGAGTCGGGAGGATGCCTGCGAACGTCGCCATTGGGGCCTTCGGTGGAGCTCCCTATGGGGCCACGAAACGTGTGAAGGGTGTGCCGAAATGGGGCGGCGGTGCCATGCGAACTTTCCCACTGGGGCCTTAGGTGGAGCTCCTTATGGGGCCACGAAACGTGTGAGGGGTGTGCCGAAATGGGGCAGCGGTGCCACGGGACCACAAAACGTGTGAGGGGTGTGCCGCAATGGGGCGGCGGTGCCACGCGAACTTGCCCACTGAGGCCTTAGGTGGGGCTCCCTGTGGGGCCACGAAACGTGTGAGTGGTGTGCCAGAATAAGGCGGCGGTGCCATGCGAACTTCCCCACTGGGGTCTTCCGTGGAGCTCCTTATGGGGCCACGAAGCGTGTAAGGGGTGTGCCGAAATGGGGCGGCGGTGCCATGCAAACTTTCCCACTGGGGGCTTCGGTGGAGCTCCCTATGGGGCCACGAAACGTGTGAGGGGTGTGCCAGAATGGGGCGGCGGTGCCATGCGAACTTCCCCACTGAGGCCTTAGGTGGGGCTCCTTTTGGGGCCACGAAACGTGTGAGATGTGTGCCAGAATGGGGCGGCGGTGCCATGCGAACTTCCCCACTGGGGCCTGAGGTGGGGCTCCTTATGGGACCACGAAACGTGCGAGTGGTGTGCCGAAATGGGGCGGCGGTGCCACGCGAACTTCCCCAACGGGGCCTTCGGTGGAGCTCCCTATGGGGCCACGAAACGTGCGATGGGTGTGCCGAAATGGGGCGGCGGTGCCATGCAAACGTTCCCATTGGGGCTTTCGGCGGAGCTCCCTATGGGGCCACGAAGAGCGTGAGGGGTGTGCCGAAATGGGGCGGCGGTGCCATCAAACTTTCCCACTGGGGCCTTCGGCGGAGCTCCCTGTGGGGCCACGAAACGTGTGAGGGGTGTGCCAGAATGGGGCGGCGGTGCCATGCGAACTTCCCCACTGGGGCCTGAGGTGGGGCTCCTTATGGGACCACGAAACGTGCGAAATAAAGAAAAAATAAAAAAAAAGAAGGCAGAAGAAAAAAAAACAAAAAACAAAGAAAAAAAAAGCCGAAAAAAAAACAAAAAAAAAAAAAAAAAAAGCGAAAAAGAAAAAACAAAAAAAAAAAAAAAAAAAGAAAAAAAAAGAAAAAAAAAAAAAGAAAAAAAAGAAAAAAAAAAAAAAAAAAAAAAAGGCGAGAAAAAGGGGGGTGTTGCCACAATGGGGCGGCGGTGCCATGCGAACTTCCCCCTGGGGGCCTGAGGTGGGTCTCCCGGAGCTCCCTTATGGACCACGAAACTTGCGAGGGTGGTGCCGAATGGGGGCGGCGGTGGCGCTTGCCAATGCGAACTTCCCCACCTGTGGCCTTATGGTGGAGCCTACCCCATGGTCCACGAAACATGTGAGGGTGTGCCGAATGGGATGGGGGTGCGAAAGAGCAAGAGGCATGAGGGGAGGAGGGAGGAGGTGGAGGGAGGGGAAGGAGGAGGAGGATGAGGAGGAAGGAGGAGGAGGAGGAGGAGGAGAGGAAGGGGGAGGGGGAGGAGGAACTCAGGAACGCGGGGCACTCTCTTCACAAAGAGGACCCAACATTACAGGATGGTTGGGAACAAAACGAAAAACGAAACAGCCCACGAGATGACCAAAACACCGTTTAGGTCCAGCCCTGGCCTGCGAGAACCTGTTCTCCGCGATCTTCTGCATCAGGCTGGCAGCGTCGCAGTTGGCCTTGTGTTGCTCATCGATGAAGACAAGAGACCATGAGCATCACCTTTCGGAAGGCCGCGCGGGCTTCTCGAATCGCCGCTGGACCCCGTTCCCCTGGCACGCAGAGCGCGCCAGGCGGGGGGGGGGGGCCGCGCCACTTCATGAAATCCGCGCGGAGCTCCGAAAGCTTATGCCTATGCACGTTGTTCTTCTTCGAGCTCGCACACCCTCTCGTACTCTGCCTTCGCGCGGCTGACCTCCGCGTCCCGGACCTTCTTCGCGCGCGAGATGGCGTCGTCGGCCACCACCTTCTGGGGAAACCACGAGGCACCGACACCGCTACTCCCCAGACCTCTCCCAGGGTGCGTTATGACAAGAATTTCGAGGCGAATCTAGCGGTGCCGACAAGGGCCACCCATAAGGCCAAAAAAGGCGAAAGCAAGGGAAGGGTGCATGCAACGTTCTGATTTGTTGTATAGTACGCGGTCCCTGGAAGTCCCGACCCTTTCCCTGGGGCTGGTTTCTCATCCTGAGCAGTTTCTTGAATGCCCTGGGGCTCGGCGAGGGTCCCCAAAGACCGAAAATAGCCAAGAACCTCCCGTCGTGATTTTCAACGCCACGATCATGTCTGGGTTCTCCTCCTCCGAACCTTGACCACCCTCGCCTGCTCCCGCCTGGAGCCGACCTCTTGCGCGAAGCTGCTGAGGATGCGGTGCGGCAGGTAGTCCTTAGGGGGCTTCGGTGCCTTGGGCTTCGGCCGCCGCATCTTGTCCTCCCTCGGGTCGTCGGAGGCCTGCTTCGCCTGAGTACTCCTGAGCTTCTTCACCTGGGGAAACACATGGATATGTAAGGAAACGCAAAAATACAAACATAAAAACTCGGAGGTCCGCGCGGACGTCTTGGATGCGGCGCCTGGGCCCCCCTTTCCTGGCGCGCGGAGCTTCTTCGCCGGGGGGACCAAAAGATACCGATACGATAGGGGAACAAACAGCGGCATAAACATCAGAGTGAGGGGGCTGAACCGAACGGTCGTTCACTGTCCCTGGGTTACGTGGCTGAAGTGGACTTCCGCGATGCGGATTACTGTTGTTGTTGTTGTTGTTGCGGTTGTTGTTGCTGTTATTGTTGATGATGTCGTTGTTGTTTTTGTTGTTTGTTGTTTGTTGTTTGTTGTTTGTTGTTTGTTTGTTGTTTGTTGTTTCTTGTTTGCTGTTTGTTGTTGTCGTCGTCCCACCCGCGACCTGCCCCGCGACCCACCCGCGACCCAACCCGCGACCCACCCGCGACCCACCCGCGACCCACCCGCGACCCACCCCGCGACCCACCCGCGACCCCACCCGCGACCCGCCCGCGACCCACCCCGAGACCCCCCCGGCGAGCCCCCCGCGACCCACGCGCGACCCACCCGCGACCCACCCCGCGACCCACCCGCGACCCACCCGCGACCACCCCCGAACCCACCTCGACCCACCCGCGAACCACCCTGCTACCCCGCACCCAAAATTTTCGTGCGCCTGCGCGTGGTTTTCTTTTGCATTCGTTCCCAGAGGAGAAAGAAACCTGCTACTCGACCCGCGCCCCAAACCGCGTCCAGCGACCACCACCGCGACCCACCCGCGACCCACCCTGCGACCCACCCAAAATTCTTGGCGCCTGCGGCGGGCTTCTTTTGCATGCGTTCCAGGTGGAGAACCTGCGACACACCCGCGACCCAAACTGCGTTCAGTATACAAATCACTTGTTTCGGCGCCTGCGGCGGGCTTTTGAATTCCTCCCAGGTGGAAGTGGAGAGCCCGCGACCCACCCGTGACCCAAACTACGTTCACTGAACAAGCCAAAACTTCGGCGCCTGCGCTGGGTTTCTTTTGCAGTCGTTCCAGGTGGAGAACCTGCGACCAAAACCGCGTTCAATGTACAAGTCAAAATTTTCGTCGCCTGCGGCGGGCTGTTTTTGAATTCCTTCCAAGTGGAATTTTAGAGCCCGCGACCCACTCGCGACCCAAACTACGTTCACTGAACAAGCCAAAAATTCGGCGCCTGCGGCGGGCTGTTTTTGCATTCGTTCCTGGTGGCCCACCAGCGATCCCCCCCCGCGCTGAACTTGTCAGAGCACGCAAATCGGCTCCTGCGGCGGGCTTGCTCGCATTGGTTTGCTGGAGGAGGAGGAGGAGGAGAAGGAGGAGGAAAAGGAGGAAGAGGAGGAGGAGGAGGATGAGGTGGAGGAGCAGGAGGCGACGACGACGACGACGATGACGCGAACGAGGAAGAGAAGGAGGAGGAGGAGGAGCAGGAGGAGGAGGAGGGCGCCACCGACAGGAAGGTGAGGGCCACGAGGTCCGCCGGCTCGACCCCCGCGTCGCCCGCGCTCGCCCTCACTCTGATCCGCAATTGCGGGGTGCTACGTAAAAACTCGAAGGTCCGCGCGGATTTCTCGGATCGGCGCTGGGGCACCCTTCCCTGGCGCGCCAAGCTTCTTCAGTGGGGGAAACCAAAAGATACCAATATCACAAGGGGACTCAACAACAACATAAACATGAAGACTCAAAGGTCTGCGCGAATTCCTCGGATCCGCGCTGGGACCCCCTGGCGGCGCCTCTGTCGCCGCCACCGGCGCGTTCCACGCGCCGGGGAGTGGGGTCCAGCGCCGATCCGAGAAATCCGCGCGGACCTCCGAATTGTTATGTTTATGGTCACTGTCTGTTCCCCATGATACGGCCCCTCCCTGGACCTCTCCCTGAAGGCGTTCCGGCCAGGCTTTCGGGGCGAATCCAGCCCTGGCGACGATGGCGTCCCAGGGCGCGGCGTCGGAATGAATTGCGAGGAAGTCCCACGCGAGAAAAAAAAAAAAAATAAAAAAAAAAAAAAAAAAAAAAAAAATAAAAAAAAAAAAAAGAAAAAAAAAAAAAAATAAAAAAAAAAAAAAAAAAAAAAAGAAAAAAAAAAAAAAAAAAAAAAAAAAAAATAAAAAAGTAAAAAAAAAAAACAAAAAAAAAAAAAAAAAAAAAAATAAAAAAAAAAAGAAAAAAGCGCGATTCCCAACATAGATTGCAAGGGGATCCGAGCACTTGTGAGGAGGTATCAAGCGTGAGCCGCGGTTGTTGTGAACCAGGGGCCACAAAATGCGCGAAAACGAAGTCAGGGCAGCTGCATCGGGGCCACTTCTAGGGGGGCCGCCTCGAACCCTAAAGCCCCTACCCCCCACGATTTCTGAGGGGGAGGGTGGGTTCACTTCGTTCGAGAGCTCCCGAATGAAGTGAACCCCACCCTCCCCCTCAGAAATCGTGGGGGGTAGGGGTAGGGTTCGCATGTGGCCCCCTAACTTCACTCCCCCGATCACCTGCGGCTCGGGCTTCGGGTGCGGCTTCACGCGCCTCGCCTTGAGGTCGCCAGGCTCCTTCGGCTCCTTCGTGCAGGGGGCGAGCCGAGACAGCGGCAGCTCAAGTCGACCCCCCGACCCCCCCCTCCCCCGGGTCCTCCAAGCGCAGAGTTTTCTGAGCTGCGTCCAGCCATAGCGACGAGAGGGCCCCCCCGAAGGCCAACTGCCGTTGTCTCAACTACCTCCCCCGAAATGCGATGTCCTGACTTTTCCAATACGCGGTCCCCAGAAGTCCCGACCGTTTCCCCAGAGCCAGTTTCCCATCCCGAGTCGTACTTTAGCGGCCCAAGGGCCTCGCGGGGGCCCCCAGAGGCCGAAAACGGCCAAGAACCTTCCGTCGTGATTTTGCCACGACGCGAGCATGTCTCAGCTCGCCCTCCCCTGACTTAGGAGGCAACTCCTGGGAAGTCTTCGTCAGAACGATTAAGGGCATGAGGCCAGAGAAAGCCCAGGATTAACCCGGATTCAACGGGATCAAGCTGGACTCAGCGGGAGGAAGCCAGATTAAGCAGGATTAAGCCCGATGGGTCCAGTGTTCGACCAGGGATATGCCAGCGCCGATTCCGAATTTGAGCTCCCAGGAGCTACAGCTTGGTCTGCAGAACTAAACGATGACATGGACAACAACTCGGAGGTCCGCGCAGATTTCTTGGATCGGCGCTGGACCGCACTGGGCTTTCCCTGACCTGCCCAGACATGCGACACCCCGATTTTGTTCGACAGGCGATCCCCGAAAAAAACCCTACCCCTTCCCCAGGACTGGCTCTTCCTCCTGAGTCCCCCCGGAGGCCGAAACTGGCCTCAAACCTCCCGTCGTGATTCTTTTGTACGACGCGAACATGTCTACGACCTTCACTGGCGCGCGGAGCGGACCAGAGGCGGCGCCAGAGGCGCCGCCTGGTCGAACACAAGGCTGAATCCCGCTGAATCCGACTTCCTCCCGACGAATCCAGCTTGATCCTGTTCACTCTGGCTTAATCCTGGCATTTCTCTGGCCTTTATCTGGCCTCGTGCCCTTACAATCAAAAGGAGTATCAAGGACGGGTGGTAAGGACGCAGGACCCTTGGAAGTCGAAGTTGGGATCTTTAAAGCGGCGGGCGACCACCGAAAACGGCAAGGGACAGGCCGCAGAGGCAAGGACACAAGGGCACCCTAGATGAGGGCGCGCGTCCTTATACCGGGCGGACTGACTGTTATCGTCCTGACGAAAACCTCCCAGGAGTGCTCTGTGGTCAGAGCCTCCTGGATGGGGTCGGAGTAGATGTTGTCGGAAGATCGCGCCGCGATGCATCGCCGATGAACCGGCGATGCATCGGCCATGCACTGGCGACGCCGGCGATGCATCGGCGCCGTCGGCGTGGAGAAAGTCGGCTTCGCATCGAGCCGCATCGGCAATGCATCGGCGATACGGCGCGGTCCTCCGACCCCATCTACGCCGACCCCATCTAGAAGGCCTAGAGTTTTAAGTCGGGCATGTCCTCCTACAGGCGGATTTTGGAAGAAAAACAAAAAAAACAAAAAAAGTAAAAAAATCGCCCCATACTATTTTTGACTACTGTTGAATACTCCTCCTTTACGGCAGGTTCGTGTCGTGCCGACCCCAGCGTTGGTTTTTGACACCGCAGGGATCGTTCAACCTTAAACGATCGGCCGCTGCCGCAACGTCCGATCGTTCAACATCGATCGATTCTGGGTCGCCGGCGGCGTTCAACCTTGAACGCCCGCGCTGGGGTCGCCGCTGGTCGACACGACGCAAACCTACCGTACAGGGACTGGTCTGACCTTCACCTGCGCGATGGCCGGCCGCGCCGCCCGCCCGCCCAGCAGGGAGACGAGGCCCAGGGCGACCCAGAGCGGCGCCTGGGGCCCCCGAGCGGCGCCGCGGCGCCCGGGGCCAGCTGCGCGAGACGCGCGCGCGGGACGCATGGCCGCGCCAGGCGCCCGCC